CAAAATACATTGAGAAGTCCCTTTTCAGTAACCTTAAAAACTTTGTTGAAGTTGAAAACCACCAAAACATCTATATTTAGAAATGTTCAGGTTTTGAGAAAAGTCATCCTTCTCATGAAAGCACAGTTAACCAAAAGATGTCCTGATCCTTCTAGTGAGATACCTTTTTAAAAATCAAAATTAGCTGAATAAGAGCTAGATATATTTTTTGTTCCTCTTCTCTTTGAAGGTTGTAGCACATCTAATATCTTGAAAAATAAGGAAGGAAAGAAACCTTATCTCTGTGCCAAAATACTCTTAGTGTGTATCAAGTGGCTTCCTGTGTCTTTCAGGTGATCAAATTAGCAATTTTTATTTCTCCAGTTGCCAGAACTAATATGACAATCCTCAAACTACAGTTAATCATTGCTGGTAGAAAAATAATCATTGAAAATCTGGCAACAAAAAAGAGGCAATTTAATATACAAACAGAACATGTAGGAGAGTGTACATTGAACTGTAATAATGCACTTAAATAATCCCCAGCTTATGAGTGTGTCAGTGAGACTGTGGCATTCCACTGCGTTGCTGCTGCTGGAGGGCCTGGCTATGGGGATGAGGTGCAGTCTGATCCCAGAGACATGCTGTCTTCATAGCCTTTCTTCTTCAGTGTTATATTTCAGGTAAGCTTTTAGCTTTCTCTAGCAGAGAAGGATGATTTCTCATAGAGCAGATAGTGGCAATAGCACTAACACACCTATAAAATACCCCATGTTTATGACCACTTCTACGATTGCACAAACCAACTTCCCCAGGGCTCCATTTTGCATTGTGGAGGGGAGTGGTGATGTTGCCTGTTCCCCCTGTGCCCCCCTCTGCAGTATCTGCTTGCGTGCTTGGAGGTTGTGCAGTAGCAGAGCAGCACTCCCAGTCCTCAGATTGTGGGATCCCACCCAAAATCAGGGCAGAGAACTGATCCAGTACAAAACCAGACCTGAAGCAATCTCATTGGAAGTGCATGGGAGTCTGTAACCAGTGCTGCGCTTTGCTGTCATGTCAGACCATGCTGATACTACTTCTTGTCACTGATATTCACAGAAAGTATGAGTTAAACCATTCTTAAAGCCTAAGCAAATACTAAGTGCTCAGGATGCTTTTCCATGTATGTTGCTAATAACTTTGGTGCAGCATATGTTCTTTGCTCACCCCTCATATTGTCTTCCTTTGCCAAAGCAGTTCCCCATGACCCCTTCCAGCCTTCTTTTATTGCACATTTGAGGAGCCCCTGATCTGTGGGGCAGCACAATGGTACTAACAGGGGCAGAGTGAGATAAGAGCAAGTGCCTGGAGATAGGGGAGTAACTCTGTGGTACTCCCCAAGGTGTAAAAATACTCTCTTGGGCTCTGTAGTCAAGTCCTCTTTTGCACCTCCCTTGAGAACTAGACAAGCATTGTGCCAAAATGCAGATTTTCAAGTCTGTACCTTAGAAAAGTGTCTTGCTGATGTGATGTTTAGGAGAGACAGGTAACTCGTTTCTGCCTGGTCACTGCTATGATGCTTTCAAACTGAGGTTGTTTGAACACTAAAAACAACAAATAGAATAAAAAATGACTTGAGCTTTCTAGTTACCCCCAGGCCGTTATAATCCTCTCTAATGAAACTATCTGTTGCAAAAATGGATGAAAGTAATGCTCTTCTTTATTAATCTTTTCTAAATCTCTATCTGGAAATACTTGTCTCCTTTTCATCTTTTTTTTTCTTCCTTTCCCCTTAAATCCACTGACAATTATTTTAGCAGCTCTATCAATTTGGAGACTTGTTTTAGTGTTTAACTGAAATAACCTGAGAAATGATTGATCATTAAGGAAAGATGGCAACAATCACCCAAGGACAAATCATGGGGGTATCCATCAGTTTCTGTGGAGTCAGAATTGGTCTATTGATATAGACAATCTGAAACTCCCTAACAAAAACATAATGAAATATAAAGCAGCTTTTTTTTTTTTTTTTTTTTTTTAATTTTAAATGAATTTCAAAGCACTTCTGTAATTTGAAAANAATCTGAAACTCCCTAACAAAAACATAATGAAATTCTGAGATCTTTTTTTTTTTTTTTTTTAACATTTAGGTAAAATGAATTTCAAAGCACTTCTGTAATTTGAAAAGACTAGTGTACTAGCCTTTAGGCTTTTTTTGCCTGAATTTTGGAGAACTGATGACAGTAAGATATCTATGTACCACATACAGCTGTGTAGGTCTTCTAAGGCCGGAGTAATCTTGACATAAATAACAAGTAATTAGCACCCATTGACTTGAGTGGATTAGCAGGGTTATGGGAAAAAGAGAACCTAAAAGAGAACACTAAAAACTCTATAAACCTTTATTAGAACAAGTTCTTTAAAATCTCAAACTCTTATATACAATTAAGTAATATTGTGACTTTCAAATATTTACATTACAAAATAATTTGGAACAGCTATTCGATAAAATAGTTAAATATACAGTAATTTCATATCAGAAAGTTAACCAAAGTTGATTTTATAGCCTTCCAATGGGTTTAGCATTACAAAAAAATATTTTTTTAATCTCAGAGCAAGAGTTATCTATGAATCTATAACTTATGACTGCATAGAAACTAAAAAGAATGTTCCTTTTTGCTCAGGTTACTGTTAGGGTTATGTTCTTTACAAGTCCAGGACTCTTATGGAATTAATTAACTGCTGGCAATGTCAGTAACCTTATGTTTGTAATATTATGGAGGAGTTATTTCTATTTTGTTAAGATACCGATTTTTAACATATGTAGGAGAGATGTTGCCTAATTACCCTTCTTATTATCCATGTATTTCTCAAAAAAATCCTCCTTTGGATCTGTAGCTTTTCCGCCTTCTGCAGAACAAAAAGGCCTCACACTGTAAATTAGATGTCAAATTGCCTTGAAGTGCTGGATAAGTACTGAAATAATTGAGGAAAATGGAAGAAGAGGTAACAGTTCCTTAGGGATCATCACATTTGCTAAACATTGCAGAACAATATACAGTGGAAGAGATTTTCTGTTTGCACGCGTTTTCCTAATTTCTACTGAGGGATGATAATTTGAGTTATAAGTTGCCAGTAGATGTTGCAAGAGAATGGGTTGGCTCAAATCAGGCTGACGATGAGGACATTACAGCGGAGGCCTAAATAAATTTAGCAATAATAAAATAATTTTTGAAACCTGCTGATATCTTACCTGCTGTCCGGTTGTCCTTCTTTTTGTTTTGTGAGCTAGAGGACCTGACTATGTGCATCATTTAGGGAAAATTAGGGTGCCTTAACCAAAGATGTCAAGTTAATATTCATGAACTGGAATATTAGAATGTTTTGGTTTACTAATGTAGGAGAGAAGTTATCTAAATCCCCTGCAATTCAGTTCACCTACAAGATTAAAATACTGGGACAAAACGGTGCAAAAGGAGATGACCAGGAACTGATGACAAGCGTAAAACAAACAGGAGTGCAAGGGGCTCACAGGCAAGCAGAAGAGAGAAATACCGAATGGGGTCAGGGAAGAGAGGGGCCAAGGTAGCACCCGGGCTGAAGCTGAGCCCATGAACCCATTGTCCGCAGAAAGTAACCGGAGCGAGTGGGTGCTGGGCAATGGCCGTGGCAAATGCAGAAGTCAGTGTGAAAACGACGATCAAAGAAAGAGACCGGTGGGGTGAAACAGGGCAGTGCAGAGCCAGGCTGAGGTATCAGATGAATGAATGACCCCCTCCATAGTTAAAGGCTGGGGAAGAAGAACAATGATGTAAAAACATTTAGGGAAAATAGAAATACTAAAAATTATATTTGTCTGGTATGGCGGCAATCTGTTAACATTATCCATAACTATACTGAAATGCAAACTACTTGGCCAAGAAACTGCCCAAAGCATTGTTTTGTATTTTTTAAATGCCTAGAAAGTACCTGAAGAAGAAAATAAATTCCCTAGCATGTCAGATTTTAGAGAGGGTAAATGACATACCCTGGATAATCATAAAGCTCTAACTGAGACATAAGTTCTGGGCAAAATTTATTTTAAAGTTTGATATAGAGATTGATTAATCATGAACACCAGAATAAGAATTAATGCTTATTGGCATGAGTTTACAGAATATAATTCACTCAAGGTAAACTTAAAAAATAAAATATATAAGTGAAACTAAATCTCTGAGAAACTGACTTGGAACTGTGCAGCATTTTATCTGGCAGAAGGACCACCTAGAATTAACATTAATCCCAAACCATCAACATGCACAACACAGGCTCTTATCAAATGCCATAACAGAGTGAGATAGTGCACTGTGCTGTCATTGATGTGTGGCTAGGACAGGATGATGGATCATCATCGTGTCAGAACTGAGTTATACCAAACAATGTCACCTTTGGGGGTCGGTTAATTTTCAAAAGCAAAAAAAATAAAATACAAAAGCAAAGACTCCTTTTTGTCCCAGCTGTGCATCAGCTCTCTTCAGGGAGAAGGTGGTGGATGTTGGACATGGGGCTGTGTGGGCTGGAGCAAGGTAGGGTGAGAGTCACAGGTGGACACTGGAGAACTGCTGGGTCCCCACTGACTGCCACCCCACTGACTGCCCTCCAACCACGCAGCTGGCAATGGTCCCAAAATACATCTTTTTATCTTGTACCATTAAAGAAATGTTCTCTGTTTTGGGCATCCTCAGGTTACTGCTTTGCAGACTGTAGGAAGGCTGAGCATAACATATTTTTCTGTTGGAAAGAAGTTGCTAACAAAACTGCTACTGAAAAATATCTACTACTGTTTTTTAAAATTTTCTGAATTTCAATCTTCCACTTTTTTTCTCCCTGCATTATTTTAAACCAATATTCTACAGAATGGGTTTGCTGTCAGGAAATAGTGGAAATGTTTGTAAAAGAAAAAAGTTGACTGAAATTAAAACACTTTTTTCAAAGTTAAAAACCATCCAAGCAGGAAAAATCTATTTACCATTACTCATCAATTAAATCCAAGATTTGTAATAAATAGTTTTGGACAATGATGAAGTGAAGTCTTTTATTCTTTGAGGAAATTACTGATCAAGTCATATTCAATAATGAATGAATGTTGTTAGCTGTAAACATTCTTTCCTTCTATATTGTGACACATCCTTTATTATTCACAAAGGTGAACCATCCTCTGTATTTGTCAGCTGTGAGTGACACTTAGAAGCCATCCCAGAGGCTTGGGGCATTTGTTTTCTCTCTTTAACCAAGATATGCATGATAACTTATTAGTGAGTTATTTGCAGGCAAACTAAAACTGATCATATTAAACATATATTGAGTGGGAAGGCACTCTATATTTAAATAGAAGATGAGGATAGGTAGAATATGATAGGGTAGGATATAAGATATGGTAGGATGTGAATTTGCTTTTTTAAATAAGGCAAAGGAAGCTTTGCACGGACATGGATCTGCTTTTATGTGTGTTACATTTTTAAACTACATTCTAAGAGACTTGCTATAGAAAATCAATGGACACAGTTGTAACATTTATATTCCCACCCTGAGGTATCCCAGGAGTCTGATTTTTTTTCAGTGTAATTAAAGGTGACCAGGCACACTTAGAAGTCCATGTCTTTCAAATATTGCAAGCTCAATATTCAACAACAGAAGCAGCAGAAAACGTACTGCATCTGAAAACCTTGACGAAGTAGTCACCCATAACACATACTCATCTAAACCTGTGTTTGGTGTGAGTACTGAACTGTTCAATTTTTCAAGCTCACTTATTTAAAAAAAAAAAATGTTTTCAAGTTGAATATTCCTGAAGTAGGTGGTTAGAGAACAGCCCTCGGCAGGGAGGAGACTTACATGGAGAGAGCTAGCCCCGGGCCCTCATCTATGGAGATAATGAACTGAAAGGCAATCTCAAAATAATAGTTTTCACTTCTCCGAAGCCTTTAATTTGAAAACCAAAAAACACACTACAGACAGAGTCCATGCCCTTGCCGGGCTGCAGTCACTTCTGGCTATTCCTTTGAGAGGCTTCTCAGCTGCTCTCTCTCTGTCCTCAGAGGTGGTCTGTCAGTCCTAGCCTGGTACCTCCCCAGCAGATGCTCTGTGCAAATCAGTGCACCATTCAGAAAAAGCAAATTGAAAAATAAGCATTGCATAGGCATGAGCTTCACACCCACAAAGCCAGGGCTGTCCAGAATTATGGACATGGAAACAAACACCCTCAAAAAACAAAACAAAGAAACCCGCCGAACTTTGAACAGAAGTGGTTTTAAGTGCTGCACAATACAAAACTGCAGAATGAGATAGAATCATGAACTATTTTGAGAACTTGGGGGGGAGGGAAGAGGTTTCTCTTGATTTGTGAGGAATGTAATTGCAGAAAGAATTTAAATCAGTCTCTAATCTTGCTACTGTGCTTTTCTCTTTTTCTTTTCTTCTTTTTCCTTCCTGTTTCCTTTCTGAAGACCATATATAGCAGGACACAACCAAAGCATTTGCTTGTCTGGCCTTTTGAGGTGAATTATATTTAAATCCCATGACAATGACATATTTAAATCCAGTTCTTCCAATATCTGGGGGATGGTTAGCTTGTGTGCTGCTTCCCTTTATCCAGTTCTTTGCTGTTCTGACTTCATGATTCACCATCACTGTGAACACACAGGAAAGAAAAAACACACCGGTGTCATGCTGTTGGGTTAGTTGTCTCAGCAGGAAATAATATGAAAAAGTATCTCTGGAGTCCACGTGAAGGTGTTCCCAGAAAATAAATCTGTCAGTCATGCAACAGATGAACAGACTCCATCTGCAGTGTTGGATGCTGGCAGTAAGGGCTGCTCTGATTTCTCTGATGGTTAGTGGCTGCCCAGCACAGCCTGTCTCCTGCTCCGAGGCCTCTTTCCACAGGTGAGGATAACTTTCTATAAATAGAATTTTTGTATTACATCTGACCTTGTAACAGGTGCATTTTCTCTTTGTCCCACTGGTTTCTGCCCAGCTAGTTTGTTCCCTAGCTCTTTCTTAATAATGTTCTTAATTATGTTCATGCCAACATTAAAAATGAGACATCTTTTATCGGCTGACTGGATTTCAGTCAGCATTAACAGCAGGGTTTTAAACCACTTTTGAAGTTAAAGAGGCACTCATAATATTTTACATGTTTTTTTAAGTCCCTTGTCAAACTGAGGCACATCCTGGGAAGGCAGTACTTCTTTCTGTACTAACTTATTACCCACCCAGAACATCTCTCCATAAGAAAGACTCACCCTTTTGAGACAGAAAGACTAGGAGGGTGCCCAGCAGCACCCAAGGCAAACCAAATCTCTCAGGAGGTGTGATAAAGCGTAAGGGGATTGTTGTACTCCACATCCTACAGAAACCCATGCTGTGACAGGGACAGGCTGTGCTAATTTTGCTGGGGGGAGTAAAGGTCCCTGGAGTAGAGATTGGTTTTGTACCCTCTTGTGCACCACAGGAGAATCAGCCCTTGCCTGCTGGCCCTGCTTCCACTGCCTGCTCCCTCCTGCATGGACAGGATGGGAGCCCTGGCCCCAAGGAGGCTGGGGATGTTTCTGTGCTCAGGCACAATCAGGATTTTAGCACTAGGTTTCAAAGCCGAGACATATTATTTCAAATATATATTTTGAAAAATGTATATAATTTTTGAAAACGTATACATATATTTGTAACTTAGCTTACATGCAAAGTAGGTGACCTCCACCTACCAAGGAGCCTGGACTGTCATATATTGCCTCCTGTGCACAAATGTGCAGCCTTGATGCTCCTGAGTACAAATTTTGTTATAATAGCTTTGTTTCATTTTACTTCATAGTCTTTCACTTTCCTTGCTCAAAATAGCTGCTGAAAACATCTATTTATCTGTATGTAGTTCTCTTTCTAACATTATTTATTCATCTAAGCGTTTGATCAGGAAAACCAGCAGATATTGGTCTGATAGGGTTCAATTGCAGGAATAAACAGAAATCAGGTTTTTTTCATTGTTTACCCAGAAATCCCACCACTTCAGATACCTTTTCTCATTGAAATAAAGCATATTTTGAAATTTCATGTGTAACGAAATTTGCAGAATTAGATCAGACTTAAGGGAAACACTCAACTTAGAAATATTTTACCACCATGGGGTTCTGTTCTTTAAACTTTTAAAAACTTTTATATTAAAAAGTCACTTACTCTGAAAGATAGTTTTGGAACAACTTTCATTCTGAAAACATCAAAATGTCACTATTGAAATGGTTAGTCTCATATAGTTTCAAAATTATATCACAATCATTCATAGTTCAAAACATTTTGGTCTTGATGAATTTCCCCCCAGCATCTTTATGAAGCACAGAAACAACTCTGTTCAGTGAGGCCTTGAGATGTTTCCCATACTGAAATATCATCAATAAAATCTAAAAGAGAAATTACCATAATTTGAGAAGAATTTTGCCCAAACAAAGCAGTCTTTCAGAATCTGAAATTGAATCTAATAATCTCACACTTTGTATTCAACTAATATCCTTTGTCTGAGCAGCTCTGAATGTTTTAGAGATAAATTTCCTATTTTTATTTGCATTTTTTTGCCTTTCCACAATTTCTCTATAGTCTGATTCTAAGGTACCAGTCACAAGAAAATATACTTAAATGACGCGTGTGCCTTTGCTCTGACTGAAGCATATTTGTCTGAACAGGGTTGCTTTTTTGCATCAAGGCTTAAGCCTCACTATATTATTCTGAAGTGGCAATAACTCTGTTTGACAGGTTGAAGGACTTGAGGTAAGGTGTAGCCTAAAGATGCCTTTTGACAGCCAAGAGCAAAAACACCTCATTCTGATGGGGTTAATGCAAATCCAGTACAAAAGCACTTTAGCAAGGATGATATTTAAAATGTCAGCTTAAGCTGGTATGTCATGATGATTTTTTTTCTGAAAATGAATTGTTTAAGTAAACTTAATGCTAAGGTTGGTGTGCCTAAAAAGCCTTTTAGAGTATGACTGACGTTTGCTGGTGTTAGCATATGACTCAAGCATGCTTTGTCCTATACTCCCTGCTATAGTCAGTGGAATGCTCAGCAAATCTGCTTTTAGAGAACCACTGTGCAGCTGCCTCTCCTTAACAATTTTCCCCCTCTGAGTTACCGTTTAGAGGCAGGAAGGGAAGACACAGATGGCTAGCAAATCCAGGATCTTTTCCAGCTGCTCAGGGTAAAATTAATGTGCTTGCTTGCATTTGGAACCTAGGATCTAAGTCTTTTTTTAAACAAAACTAAACTAAAGCAAAAACCTCACAGCACAATGATGATTTCTCTTGCAATAGGTGTAGGCAGAAACCTTTTAAATACAAATGGCTGCACTGGACAAGCCCCATCCAAAAGGTCCCCCGAAACTGCAGCTTTGGAGCAACTGAGTTGCAAACTCTCCAGCGGTAGTGATTTAACATCCCTGCTATTTCATTCTTGAGCAAGAAAACTCAGGAAAGAGGACTAGGATATTATGAGAGTCCACAGTGGGAGGTGCAGTTCTGCCAGAGAGACATATTCATCTGAATTATCTGGTGCCATGGGAAGCAGAAGACCCAGGTCCCCTTCCTGCCACCTGTCCCTGCTCCTGGCCTTGCCTGATTGCATCACTGCTTCCACTGCACCGGGGATTTTCTTGGCACATAGGATAGGTTACTTGTTTGTTATCATAACCTGGCACAGAGGAGCTGCTTTGCCCACTACCCAAAATGCAGCTGCAACAAAAGGGTGCGGATAAGGGCAATGTGCAGCCTCTTCTTTCCAGCTGGAAATAGAATTTTTAATTAGGGAAAATGGGAGTTTGAGAGGGGTTTAGGATTTCTGGCCAAAATACTGAGGAAACCAGCCAGGAAGATTTTAAGTTTACAAGCTGTCAGGATTGCAGTTTTGCATCCCTCTGGGATCTCTGCTTGTACTATGAGCTAGTGCCAGCTTGGGGGGAGTGCTGCACCAGGGCACCGGGAAGGTCCTTTAGGTTTCTCTGGGGTCAGACAAGTCCCTGTCTGGCAAGTCACAGCTCCAGCCAAAACATCTGGCAGTGGTTCTCAGGGACCTATAGGCACCAGATGGCAGAGGGGAACTGGGTGCCTGCACTGGTGAAGAGTGCCAAGGAAGCTATGCTGAATGCTTGTCTTAACACCTTGGGAAACTGTGATTAAAGTCTGATCAGCAAGTGTTGTCTGTCTTGCACCAGTTTACAACTGCAAGATTATTTGGGTTGCAATTTACTGGCAGAGACCTTTTTAGAAGTAAGAGTGTCAAGCCTTTTGTTTAAGTTGAAGTCAAAGTCCCTATATATAAAAACTTTAAAATTTATATAGACCAAAGAATCACTCTGTAATTACATACACAAATTGATTATTTTAGAGTGACATTGACTGTTTTTCTTCAAATAATATAATGAATTAAAGTACCTTGGGTTGGCAATTGATTCTTTTTCTTCTTCTCTTACAGTAGGCAAACATTCACAGTCAGCTGAAAAAGGATAAGAAACAAGACCATAGTTACTCTTGGCAATTCTTCTACATGTATTTCAAAAAAGCATCAATTTTTATCATGCAGTCTCTCTAAAATATAGATCTGTGGATACACTTCTGCACTGTGTTATCTGCACAGACCCCATAGCATAAATGTTAAACATTTTAAATCCTCCTTCCTTTTGATAAGTGTTGCCAGAATTTCTTTATTACATATATTTCAGTTATTTATGTACACCTATACAAATTAACTATTTTTGACGACTGCTTCCCTACAAACTGCCATGGGTAGGGTTTTGTTCCCTTCTCTCCACAAAATTTTAAAAAATATTTTACAACACTATTGTCCTGTGTAGTACACTTAATGTGTCTCTTTCACTATTGCCACTTAGCACATGTTTTCCACTGGAGCTTACAGACCTCAAAGGTCAAAACCCCATCACGTGGAGCGCTGTGCTAACGCAAAGAAATGCTCCAAAGAGTTTTATGTCCTGAAAAACAAAGCATCCCTCGTAGGTCAGGCAAATGAGCCATTTGGATATAAGGCAAGGGACCAGGAATGAAAAAAATATCAGTGTTTCAGCATTTCCTAGCCAGTGAAAAGCTGTTAGGGGTTCAAAATCAGGCCTCGGTTAATTCACGCCTTACCAAAGACCCGCATTTTTTGAGGAGAGCCTTGAAGGAGAATGCAGGGCCCTTAAGGATTTTGACTGGGAGATTACAGTCGGGAGGAAAATGAGGGGGAAAATGCAAGATACTTAGAGGGAACTGAGAAGGGAGCTGAAGATGCTGCTGCTGGTAGTTACTGAAAATTCTAATTGCTTCATGGGCTGACAGACTTGCAAGAGAGGGGAAGGATGTATTCATAAGTTCCTGACAGCAGCTTTAAGTAAATGGTGGTCTGAGCTACAAACAAATGTGGATTTCTCCTACAATAACACAATGTGGAGCACAAAACTGTAGAAATTCTGAAGACTGAAAGGACTAGATGCTTCATAGAAATTAATATTTAGCATTAAAAATGTGTATTTAAAAATATAAATACCCCTCACAGCTATATGTGTGTTTAATAGAAATGTCTACTGGAAACTGAAAATATTTATGAGATTCCACCACATGTTAAAAATAAACTCCCACACAAACTAAAATACTCCTTTGAAAATTCTACCCCTGACATTTGTGCAGTTATTTTAGTAGGAGGGAGCCAAGATCACAACTAAAATGTTGTAGGAAAAGCAGTGACATGCATACAAAACACCTTACATTGATTTTCTACATGTGGGATCTACGTCAGCTAGCAAGAGAGGGAGAATGGAGTAGAGGGGTTACCGTGTACCATTTTTGTTCATGCTGTTCATCCATTTATCAAGCTCTTCCATTTCTATCTCCATAACAGAGGGCGTGTCTTCTTCAAAAATAGGACTTGAAAGAAGAGAGGGGGAAGAAAAGCATTACGCAAAATGTTAATTTGTACAACTTACAATGTAGTGATTTTGTATGACTCTTGCATAATTCCAGACACATGTATTATCTGTGGAAAGCCATCTGAGGAGATGCCCACCCAATGGGTTTGAACCAAACAGCTGCAAACAGATGCAAGGGAGCAATGCTGAGATGCTGGTCCTGGGCAGAGGTGGGGGGGGGGCACTGAGACATAACTCGCAGAGGGACTCAGTGCAGCCTGGTGTGTGCCAGAGCACAAGATCACTGCAGCTTCTTGAAAACTGTCCCTGCTGTAAATAGAAAACTAAAAAATAAGATAGTTTGTCTCTGCCCTGCTGGAACACGTGGCAAAAGTCTCATTGCTCCAGTGATAAAATCAAAAGGCCTAATGTTTCATCATAGCTGTGACTGACATTTGCAGTGACTTCGAAAGGAAAGGTCATGAGTAGAGTAACTGCATTTATTTAAATGCCTCCACTTAGCTTCCTTTTTCTTATCATTCCTGCAGTCATAAGATAGAAAAAATACTCTTTAGCAAAAAACCCTTTTTCCTTCCTAGATCCAATTTATGAACTTTCAGTATTGATTAGCAAAATGGAGCTCAATAAAAGGTAACAATAAAAATTATCACCCTGAAAGAGCCACACAGCTTTTGGCTTGTTTTTCCAGCATCTAAGGCATTGCTCCCATGGCAGCCAGGCAAGCCTTTCTGCCTCACCTCTGAGTGAGAAGACAAACTTGAAAAACAGGGGAGAAAGACACAGAGCTTATTCTGAACAGTAAAAGCCTGTGATGAGCCTGGGAACTGATCCCCTTTGCTCCTGGGGTACCTCGTGTGTCTGGTGGCTGATGGAGCAGGAGGTGCCTAGAGCAGGCGCAGCAGGGGCTGCAGGCAGTGGGTGCCTGTGCAGCAGTGCTCGCCTGAGTCACCGCATCTCCTCCTGCTCTAGTCTTACACCTTCAGCCAGGTACTGAAGTCACACTTTAGCCACCTGTAGAGATAGTTAGCTGGTGCAATTGTTGGCAAAAAGTAATGGTGTTTAGTGTATGGTAAAATTAAAACAGGTGGTGAAGGCAACAAAAATCATAATATCCTGTTAGAATAAAATTAAAAAAAAAAAAAGTAAAAAGAGAGATATTCATAAAATTTACCTTTTCACATTTTCACTTCCCAGCTCATCTGGAAAAGAAGAAAGTTGGTGTTCATAGTTCTGCATGACACATACCTCTTTGTATATACAAGGTCCAGACAAGGCAAGCAAGCCTTGGATAGTGTCAGGTAAAACAGGTTGCATTTTCAAAAGGCATGAAAACTAAATTGTAGATGAAAGACAAAATATCTCATCCTGTTTGTAATTTTCAGAGGAACCTATTATTTTTAACCTTGAACACGCTAGTAGCTCATTATTAGCTCAGCCATGCTGGGAGGAAGCCAAGTGTCAGTGCTGCAGTGGGTGGGACAGGGCAGATGCACGCTTCCCTGAGCAAAACAGATGTCATGAGGGAAATGGTATCCTGAAAAGGAACCACTTCTGCAAATATACTGTTTATGGGAGGCATTGGGACATTTTTCTACAGATTACACACAGGCAATCCAGCTCTGTCTGGAGACTCTGGGAGGCACTCATGGAGAGAAGAGGGGGTTGGACTTGCGTGGCAGATTAAATCTCAGTCAGGCAAATGAAGCTGAACTAGCCAGATGTCAAAAGGGATCTAAAGCTACTTATGATCCCAAGACAAAGTAAAGATGGGGGAGAAAATGGTGTAAGAGATAAATAACTTTCCCTCCAGGAATCGAGTGACTGAAAAGCCTGTCTTAAATTAGCTTATTTTTAATTCATTTTTGCCAATGGGTGCTGATACCTCCCAGTTGTTCCAGTACTCCTGCATTTTCTGACTGCAGGGCCACACAAAAACTACAGAGCCATCTGCCCAAGCCTTGAGGATGCTCCAAGCTCCTAGCTCCAAGCAGTAGACACAGGGCAAGGGAACCCAGGATTGTATTCCCGAAAGGTGCCACATTTCCTATCTCTCTGAAGAGTGTACCTGCACCTCAAATCATCTAGAAACAGGCAGGCAACTAGATGCCTGGTTGTGAATTCAGTTCTTTAGAGGGAGATGCAGTGATAAGACAAACGCAACCTAAAAACACCTTGAAAAATTTACTTAAAATCCATGTTGAATGTGTTGAACTGCCTGCAGGCTGAGGAGCTTACAGCTGCACTCTGGCTCTGTAGAGACACAGATACAACTATTTCAGGACTTCACTCACCAGATGTGTGGTTTTAATATGACACTTCAGTTTGTTTTCTGTGGCTTGACACTCCAAGTTACCACTTTCTTTGCTAAGAGATGAAGGCACCTTCCTGTAGCACTGCTCACCCTACCACAGCACCCAGGGCACTCTGACCATGGGATTCCTAGCTCATTTACTGTGATGTTTTCATAGCAGCCACTATCCTATAGGATTGGGATCCCTTAAAATTGTTCCTTAAAATGGAACAATTGTTCTTATTTTATTGAAGCTCCAAGCAACTTTACCTTGTGGGCAGTATAGGCAATAGAAGAATTAATTTCACTTTGCATGAAGTTATTGAGCATAAAGGGAGAATAAGCATTTGCAGCCACACAGTTACATCCCTAAGTGTTCTCAGCATTGCCAGGAGCTGGAGCTCAGTGCCACGGCTCCCATGGATGTGCAGCATGAGCAGGAGGTGTGAAGAAGGAGAATTAGCTCCTGCCCAAGTAGAGGTGCGTGCCCAGGTACTGCCGCCAAGGAGGATCCTTCTCCTATCTGTCAAACATGCAACTACAGTCAGAGAAGAACATCCTAAATGTGGCATCACGGGCCTCCAAATAACATTTTGTTAATGTTGAGCACATCCTAAAAATATTCCTTTGATGCACAAGAAGACAAATTTACCTTGCTTAGACTTTTTCCTTTTATGATGTATTACGAAAAATGTGATCAATAAAATCAGCAGGACCAGCAGCACGACAGGGACAACATATATCAAGATAGACTGTTCTGCTGCTTCTAGGCTGTCCCCATCGTTCACAGCATTCGGTTCACTACTTGAAGTACTTTCTGTTTCAAAGCTGCTTTCAGTAGCGCTTGTCACGACAAGTACTGTCTCATGGTCATTCACGGTCGAAGAACCCACAGCAGGATGAGATGTTACTGTAACAGTGGGTAATGTCGATGGTCCATCTCCTGATCCATCATTTTCAGGGCCTGTCAAATATAGGAGGACAACTTAACGTTTTCTGGGTTTCATTAGTATTATCAGTGAGTCACAGTGTACAGCTTTAGTATTTACTTTCTATTTCATGTCTTTAAAAAATTAGCAGATGCCCCATACACACAGATTTGAAGTCTTGGGCGTCAGATGTAAAATTAGATCACAAATTTATCACAAAATCTTACCAGTTGTGACCATGTTCTTCAGCTGGCTTTTACTGGGACAAGTCAGCATGCGTGGTCTGTCTGTACAAAGCTGCCTTGCACAAACAGACTTCTTTTCCTGCAGGTTGACATCTGGCCTTGCTCACACATAAAATTATTTTGCTTCTCAGTAAACCACACTAGCCTGTTTCGCTCCTCAGTCTTGGCATATACATCCCTCCCTTACCAAAGGAGTTAGGTACTCCCTTCAGGGAGACCATTATCCCTGGTTCACTAATTCCTTTGGTTCATGCATCTCCCTGTTTCTGTGCCTTTCTCAAATTTCTTAAGTTGGTCTCACTGTGAAAAACAGAATTGGTGAAAGGAAGTCTGAAGGATGCAGAAGCTGCTGACTTCCACTTATGCCTGGGCTAGAGGTGGTAGTAACACAGGGACGTTACTGGGTACAGATGCAATTAACTGTTCCTCTGTCTGATCCTACAGGCTGGCTGAAGGAGCATATGGTAAAGCATTAATGCTGATTATTCCTCATAAATGCTAAGACTGGGGGTTTTGAACCTCAGTTTTGGTTTTGGTTTAATTTATCATGCATTTTGCAAGTGGCTAAAATTTGCTATATTGGTAATAGTGAAACAAGTGTTTTTTTGAGGCTAATTAAGAATCTGTATTGACTGTCACAGAGTGTAAAGCTTAAAACAAGTATAGCAAATTATGGGCAGGAATCAGTCCTTAGATATATTACGATAGCATGCTTCCTAATGCAAAGCCTTCAATAATTTTCTTAACATGAAATTAAATGATGGGGTTTTGTGTTATCTGCCCTTTCACATACAATGCTGGCACAGTGCAGGTCTCATTTTATGCAATAAAGCAGGATGGGATTTCATGACTTTGGCAATGACATGTTTCTCCTCATTCTTGTAAAGTACTGGGCAGCCATAGTTTCCACTAGAGTTAGCAAGAGCTTAAGGTTTTCAGCACCTCAATGCTGGCATTTCCAATCTCACAGGACTGGAACCAAAAGTACTTAGCATTTTAAATGCTTTTGTAAACACATTAATCTTCATAATGGCCCTGAGAGATGAGCAGTTATCATCTCCATTTTACAAATGAGAAATCAGAAGGACAGGGATGCTGTCCTTCCAAGGGACGCCAAGTGAGAAAGGAAAACTGGGATTAGAGCGCTATCTCTTGCTTAATCCACTCTGCAGCATCTCCTCTCTCCCATCAGATTTGTCTCGAAGAGATGAGTATTTAATGAGACTGTATTTCAGTTTCACATGAATAAAATTATTTGAGTGTGACAGCAGTGTTCTATCTAGATTTTTATGCTGTGCTTATCACACAGACACCTGATTGTTTTATTCTTTCCTAAAAACTAGGAAAGAATTTGAATACTTAATAAAGAATACCTAATACTTGTATATAGTGTTTAGTACTGTGAAGGTCACCAGACTACTGCACCACAATAGGACAATGAAAATGATAGCTCTTTAGTCACAAAGCACATTTTATCTATAGTCTCTCTGTTGCTTTCTTCTGTATTTATTATTTCAATCAAGAGCAAAACACTATCTCTGCCTCCCTTGCAGGTAATGACCCCTTATGCGTGTGCTCCTCCACCCCTTTCCGTGATCTGCTAGCAGTCCTTAATCCTATCGCAGAGAACAGGAAGGAGAGCTTCTCTCCCTTATTATTTTGGCCATTTGTCTTTTCTTTCCCAAGTTTATAGTCCCTAGTGCCTGCAGTGACTCCATTTGGATTGCTGCTGTGCAGAGCAGACAGGTAGCACTAGAGATATCTGTGCCACAGACTGTGGTGTGATAGACCGTGCCACTGGCAGAGCTGATGGCCCACTACAGCCTCACTGAACCTCTTCAATGACCTTGCTCATTTTCTTCCTTTAGCCATCGTCCTTGAAACCCATTGCCTGACACATTTGATATATTGAGAGGGACAAGCCTGTTGCTTAAAATAGTATGAATGTGAAAGGGTGTGGAGAACATACTTCGTTTCTCGTTTACGCTTAGGGTTAAAATGGATTTTTCAAATGTCTAAAGCATGGTGTGGCTTTAAAGCAAAGCAAACAGTCACACCTCATTAACTGAAGCGCTAAAGCTTCAGCTGCAGAGTATGCTGTGCTTGATTTCCGAGACTTTTCCAGTATCTTTGATATTTTTTCTGTTTTTGAGCTATGAAGCAGACTTAAAATCATTTTTCTCTGTGTGAAATGGAATTACCTTTTCTAGTCTCTAGGCAAAGAAAATGGCAAATCAGAGGGAGTGACCTTGCTGCCACGTACTTTTGTTCACTTTGCATAATTCCAGGGACAAAACAGCATCTCTCCGGGAACACCATTTCCTCTTACAGAGATCTGTTCTCTGAGTGAATTAAATACGTCTTTCAGCAGAAGGGCACCCAATTGCAGAATGTTCTTGCAAGGATATTGCTCTTATTTCCTGTTTTACCTGCTGCCTCGACATATCTCTCTCCCCTGTCACCTCTGAGGACTAGAGCTCGGACCAGAGGGATGCCCTACCTGTCACATGGCAGTTGCTCTCACTCTCAGGCCACCCATACATCACACTTTTTACACAGTAGGAGAGCACAACCTGCACCAGGGTTGGCCTGGTGGCTTGCACCATGGAAGTATTTGTACCTCCAGTTTGGCAGGCAGAGACAGGCTGAGGCCTCCCGTGCAGCTGCAGGGCTTGCTGCAGCCAACTACCCAGGTCCCATGAGACCCACGTGGCTGGCCTCAAGAGAGCTGCTTGTTTTTCACAGTGTTTCACTTTGAAGTGCTCAAAATAGCAAGTGGGCTGTGTTGCAGCTGACCCCAGTGGCTGTTTTGTAGGGTGTTGCAAGGTTTGGAGCAGGGCAGAATTGCATCTGAAAGCTGGTGATTTTGTGAGATGCTATTCAAATGTTTTCTCTGTGCCAGATGTGCAGTGGTAATTCATACCATGAACTGGCTTGTTAGCTCTGCTGGGGTTTCATCTTGCAGATATCTATTGCCTCCCTGCAAATGGGAATTTGACCATAACATAACATAACATATCAGGATGGAAAACCAAGGCCAAAGGGGTGCAACAAGCAGCAAGTCACATATGATCATGTACATATCTTCTTGACTTTGCCAAGCCCATGCCCTTTCTCTTGCTGAGCTCAGCCTCATGCTGTTGGCTGCAGTCCAACATCCATACTCATCCCTCTGCACAGCTTGTCCAAGGAGCATGTGCTCATACAACAACTGCGGCAGCTTCACTTTTGTCTGAACTGCCTGGGGCATAAATGCTGGTGACTTCTTCCCATGTTGAGGGAAGTGGATGGGAACACACCACAGCTTCAGACCAGCCCGTATTGTCACTTTCCATGCTTTCAAGGAAGAGGGGCTGGCACGCAGCTGCATCCCACCCTGATGGGGCGGTGGGCACAGCTGGGACTGGAAGCTAAGAAGCTGGAGCTGGAAGTAAGAAGTCCTCAGGTTTCCACCATCGAGGTATTAGAGGATCTAGTCCTCAAGGGACCAAAATGTCTGAGCAAGCACTAGCAGCATCTCAGGAAAGGTTCAATTAACAGTTCTTAAAAATTTTGAAAAAGCTATGTCCCTATATAGATACCATGGTATAAGGTGTTATTCAGTATTCTCTACTTCAAAAATATGCTCGGATCACTGATGGTCTTTGCTTGAGTTTTGGAGGTGCTCTCAAACCTGCTTTTTATGGGAGACAGAGGGAGTTGAATGTACCAAGTGGTTTTACAGATTGGAGTCCAAAATAACACATCTCAGTCAAACAAACAACACTTCTGTTGTTGCAGCATTTCTTACTCTGAGGTTTGTGCTGCGGCACTCAGAGGAGATGATATGAGCTTCCTGATTAAGTAAGCAGGCAAACAGGTTTCTGAATTCAGTTGGATGCAAGGCAAAGGAAAATAGCAAAGGAAAATAGCCATCAGTCAGCACATTTGGTTCTGTTGTAAAATCGAACCTGCCGCCTTACCATCAGACTCAAGGACTGGGGTCTCTGAAGGGAATTTTTCAAATTACACTACAGTATCTACTTACAGAACAAAAAGGAATGGGGTAGAAAGAAAGCAAGAGCTGTGTCACTGGGATAGCCAGGCTTACTAGTTTGAAAGGAAAATTTTTGTCCCATAAGCTATAAAAATGCATTGAAAGGAATACCCACGAGAAGATGACAGAACAAGAAAAGGCTATAAAGCTGGTATGAAGTTACCACATCCTATATCACTCTGCTCTACACACACATTCCTTCTGTTGGTATAGTCATACCACTCCACATGATCTGTGTGATCCTCTCCCATACTGCTTGGCTCATCCCTGCACTGTTCCTCTCCCACATTTCAGATTGCTATAAGAAGGGCTGTTCCTTGCCATGGCCAGGGCTTGCCCAGATGCCTGTTGAGGCAGGTCTTGCCTGTCAGTCTGGCTGGAAGAGGAATCCTTAAAAGCCTGCAGGCGAGCTGTTGGGTGCGTATGCTGTTCTGATGAGGGAGCACAGGCATTTCAGGATGGCTAATCTGTAGACAAGATCCTATTAAAACGAGGTGCTTAGAAAGCGTTATCTAGGTATAACCTGAAAGAGGAAACAACTGTTTAAGCTCATTTATAGATGATGGAAACTGCTTTTCCTCACTGTATTTTCATCCAGCTGAAGTGCTGCACGAACTGCTGATATTGCAAATTCAGGCACGCGTCTTAGTGTCATTTCTCATCCCCAGTACTAAAGGTTTTCCAGACCAATGTATGCATTTAGTTGCTTCTACTTAGTCTCGTGGCCTTCTAGTGCTGCATCTGTGATACCCATGCAACCTCACTGTGATGTAAATCTTTTAGTGCTCCTTGCTCTCAGGAGGACTCTGAAATTAAAGATTCAAAAGCTCCAGAGGCTTTCCAGCTATCATAAAATCTTGTGATGGAAAAGAGACTGGTGCTACTGACTGAAATTTAGTATAGAGTCTTGCTGATGTAAATGAGAGATTTTCTGAAATGCCCCTGAAGCACTTGAATAAAACACAGTGAATGTTTGTGTATGCGGATAAAAGGGAGGAATGGGAATAAATATGTAGGAAGAAGTGATGTGTTCGGCAGAAAGGATTTTTCATCTGCTTTTTAGAGGACTGCACTTTGGGAAGACAGTATGTAGCAAATCCTCATTTCTTATATTTTTGCTTTTACAGAAAATTTCAACAGGTGACTCTAATGGGTTCAAACCTATTTTTGAGTTCATTACTCTAGGAGGAAATAGGTCAAAACTATCACTGTCTGAGAGATCTTGGCTTTTTAGGGACTTAACCTGAAAGGCACTTCTCTGCCAAGGCGAGAGTCGCTGCCTGTGCTCATGGTACAAGCTGCTGAATATCTGGACCTTTGATAGCAATGTTTCTTTGAATGACAGCTCAAAACAATAGCACAATAGACACGGTCTTCAACTTGGTGATCTTATGGGTTTTACTGTTCCTCTCTCTCACACATTTTCTTGCTCCCCATGTCAGGCTGTGTATGCTGCAATTTCCCATGTGTTTCACTGAACACAGTAGGAGATGGCATACCCTGAGAAACGACTGTAGGGTCAGAGCCTGTTCCTATAAGCTATAGTAAGGGTCTAAATGCTTGTTACTAGGGTCAGCACACATACCTAGGTAGGTGTTTAGGGCTGTTGCAAGGCTGAGCCAGTGAGCACCATCACCTACAGCAGAGAGAGCCACTGTCACCTGTAGGGCTTTCTGGCTGCATTAAAGCCAGGGAAAGAGAACTGGTGCAAATCCTGATGTTTCTTCAGTATGGAGTCATGAGAAGGCCAGGACCCAGAGCTGAGACCTCAGGAATGCGCTTAGAGCTACTGGATTAGAGTAATTGTAGCATAGACAGGAGAAAAACATCCATAAAGCATAATCCAAGTGGCAAGGCTAACAAGGCTCTGGCATGGTATGGGAATAGGATTTATAAAGGCTTTAATCTGTCTATGCTGCAAGATTTAATCATACTCTGTTTGCCTATTTTGTAAATGGTATTTAGACAGCAGACCACTTTAAAGGTGAGGACTGTGTCTGGTAAATCGTAAAGTTCCCTTACAATTCCTGCCCTGTTGATCTGTGAACAAGGAGGATTGAAAGCAAAGGATCTCCCTGGGAGGCTGCCCTCAGTGGAGGGGCTCTTGACCCACCAGTGCCTCTGGGGTACCGAAGCCCTACAAAAACTTTTCCCCCATCAGTTCAATTTCCCCCGAAGGCCCAAGTTCACAACTTCCCCCTCCCACCTCCCACCCTTACAGTTAGAGTACTCCTCCAGTACATTTTGGGGCTGGTTGCATAAGCAAAAGATGCCTTTGTATGGGGAGCAAAGGTGGGTGTTCTCCTCCCCTTCCCCGGCTGCTGCAGGCTGGCTCCAGAAAGTCAGGGCTGATGGGGCCTGGGGAGGGTTCTGACAGGACTGACTCACTCCTGAAGAGAAACCATTCCAAAAATAACCAGAATTTAAAAGGGGAAGTACTGATAGGAAGCCTCTGAAGGCAGGCAGGGTGTGGGCTGGGGCACCTGACATCTGCCTGGTGCTTCAAGCAGTCTTTAATGCCCGTGGCAAAGAAGGGCAGGGAGGCTAAGGGGACTGGGGACTAAGGCATCCCTCCACCCTGGGGAGGTGGTGATGAAATAGTATTGATCAGTACCCTGCACATGAGCTAAGGAAGCAGGAGCCTGATCACACTGTGTCTCCTGCATTGTGCTCCTCCTTTTCCCTGAGACCTCTGTTTTGCTCTGCCCATGGCAGGATTTTTGTTCCTCTGACCGCTTTGGTTCTGAGCTATGTATGTTCAATGCTTGCAGCATATTTTCCTGATGTGTCTGCAATGCAGCAGAGTTGTAGTAACACAATGAAGATGAAACCATTTTATACCTCACTTAGCTCACTCTTACAGCTGAGCAAGACTCCTAAGCGCAAGCAGCTCAGCAGCACACGGGGAATCTGCAGCCCAGCTTTACACCCTGCTTATAGTACTGGTTTTCAGGGGAAAAGTAGCCACACCGAACCACCTATTACAGAAATGCATTTTAAAACCTTAAGAGAAGAAGTCCAGTGATGGCTGAGAGGCAGCAAACACTTCTAAGTCCATATTGAGGCACTTTGACAGGGATTTGTTTGACACTGAAAGGCTTGTAAGCATCACCTGTCAAGGTTTCACTAAAAGACCTGCCTGTCATGTGCAGTCCCTGGCTGCCAAAATGCCAGTGGAACCAACGAGAGCCTCTACAAGCCCAGCACCACCCAGCATTTTGTCGCAAGTGGCTTTTTCACTCCTGGTTCTTCCCTTCAGAAGGTCAGGACCTAAATCCATGCTGCCGGACACTTTGTTCTGCAGCTGAGAATTCAAAATATTTGTCTCCGGAACCGGCTGTTCTTTTGTTAAACCAGTTTCAGTGCACTGGGACTGCGGAAATTGGCAGTCAGCTTTTGAATGGAAGCAGTGCTCTGTCTTTAACTTTACTGTTAAATGCTGGTAGTATTGGGTGTGGGATTTAAAAATTTCAACAAATAACTAAAATTAGAAGCGAAATGCCTGGTGGCTCAACATGGAAACTCCAATTCCCTACACAACTGCAATTTAGGAAACGTAGGAATTGTAGGATTATGTTGCTGCTGTTTGGGGTTAGGTCTAACAAGAAAAAAATCAAACCTTCAAAGAAGAGAGGCAGCTTTAAGCAGAGAGGGTAAACAAAGCAAAAAGTAGCAGAGAGCAAGTCCCCACAGATCTTCTCCCGGTGCTTAGCTTGGAGGGTGTTGCCCTCCAACTCGGTCCCATCGCTGCAGGCATAAAACGCAGTCCCACCTCGGCAGGCAAAAGGCGCTTTTTTTACTCACCATTTCCAAAAGATCCTCCAGCCAGCGACAGAGCAGAGAGCAGAGTGATAAAGCTGGGGTTTCGCATGCTGCCCTGGCAGTGCTCCCACCTGAGGGGCGCTCCGTCAGCCTCCCTGCTGCACCGAAACATCTACATTTCCTGCTTCCTGCCGAGGTGCATCTGAGCTGCATTTCTTCAGGAGATGGACTCTCTTTGATGGGTTTTAGGAAGTGATGTAATTCCGTCTGGGCCTGTCAAGCAAGCAATGATTGCAAAAGAAAAAGAAGGAAAAAAAAACAGAAGTTGCACTTCAAGCACGAACTTGGCTGAAGCACCTTTATTCTGTAGATGAGAGAGCTCCTGCTCTCCTCCACTCCTTTCACACCCGAGTTTACTACCTTCTATCTTCATCTACACACAGTACCACAGGGACAGACATCACACAAATACAAATCAGACACAAAATTTCATTGTTGTGAGTTAGCGGGAACGTTTTATGTCACTTTTCAAGGTGGTTGAGCAAGCAAATTTCAAAAGTGCCTCCTCTCTTGCCTTGCTTTTCAAGCATGGTAGGACACTGAGTGCATTTATGACCCTAAAAAGCAACCCCAAGTGGGGTGTCTCTAGCAAATGAGATGAATTGCTAGCTCTCTTAGCAGCCTGTAACTGGTATTCTGGACTGGTTTATACCAAGGAACAGGACAAAGCAGAAAACCATATCATTTTTTTTATTAGGAGCTTGGCTGGAAAGTGCTTAGACACTGGTGTGACAATGGCTATAGATGACAGGAGACAGAAGGTCTCAGGCCCCACAAGGGTGCACTGCCTGGCATGGGGGTCCACAGTCACAGTTGATGGAGTGGCGAGAGGCAGGTAATCCTGCCTCACTTCCTTATTCATCTTGATTTTCACTCCCCCTGGCAGTCTCTGTCTGGGTGTGCAGACCATGGGGCACACCTGATGCCCCCCAACAATGCCCTGTCCTCTGTCCCCACAACCCCACCACTGTCCACACACTCAGAAACACGAGGGCTGACCAGGGACTTCCACGTATTGCCTGTCACTAGGTAGGAGCAATGGACAAGCTCAACACTAAACCCAACATTTTCAACCTTCTTGCTATATGGAGTAGGCCTATCCAGGGCCAGGAACTGGACTCGGATCTAAACCATACTTGTCTTCAAGCAGGGAGGGTGGTTGGACCATAGGTTTTCTTTGCTATACAAATAAGTTCTACGTCTAAAACTCATCCTTCTGAGTCCAGCAGAGTCTGAGCTCCAGATTTTACTGCATCACAGGTATGAGCGATTTTAAATACTTGCATAAAATTTCCTAGTAATAAACTAAGGAAGAAGGCATGAATGGTGCCTGTGCAGGAGCTTCATGGTACTTCCCCTAGACATCACTCTGTGTTTAAATCTGATTTCTGGTGAATTTGTTGAAGCTGGCATTGGTGAATTTTTCTGTTCAGATTGGTGGGAAGTGACCAATTGCTGCTCTGTTTCTCCAGCTAATAATTTTTTTTAACACACTGATGCTTTCATAGGTCATCAGTTATAGTTTTCTTAGCTTGAGTAGCTGAGAAATTGGTCAGTGATTCATTTAATGACCAGTTTGTTGACAGATTTAAAACACTTGAATGAGTTTGTTAACTAACTAGTTGCTTAATATTGGCAATGTACGTTTATGCACTTCATAAAACAGTGTGGGAAAACAGAAAAGTTACAATATTGCAGCTAAAAGAAGATAAAGAGGAGCTCTGAGTTTTGAAGACGCTGACTGACCAATTAAATTTTTCTAGGAGAAATTGTGTAATATGATGTCAGTCATACCTAATAACACTTACCAGACACAAGTGTCAGAGGTGAGACTTGCCAACGCTTTTAAGATTTTTCTGTTTCTGGACAGAAACTCCAAGGATTAATAATAATGACTAATTGAGATAGTTTGAATTATGAAAGTCAAGAAATTGAGGCTACCAGGTGTCTCCTATGTGCTCATAGGATTTGTCCAGGTGCAATGGATTTGTCCAGTCTGCGATAGGAAAACTGGTAATGAGCCAGTGGCCAGCATGGGCAAAGCCTGTCTGTGTTTTCATGAGCATAGACTCAGGTTCTAAAGCTGTTACTATTGGTCATCCTCAGCTTTTCTTGAACTTCAGACAACAGGAGACAAAATAATACTTTTTCACAGTATTTTTGTTGCTTTAATGTATAAAGGATGTGCTATACTCCTTTCCATTTCTTCCCCATCTCCTTCCCAAGTTTGCCACTTTTGGTCTTTCTAATATCACACGGATTGCAAACATGCTTCCCTGATTTATCCTGCCCTGCATATTTGGCATATTTGCCCCATTCTGTAGACTTAGCCCAGCTCACTCATCCCTTACGAAAACATAAAACCTAGACAGAGAAACTGGAAAAGAGAAAAGGACTTCTGTTTGCTGCATTTTATCTTATATTTCTAGTGCAAAAGACTATATCTTTTCCTCTTTTCCCTTCTAGTCTTTCTACATAGCTTGTAGCATTTTCTGCACAGATTCCCATCAACTATTTTTGACTCACGTTTGGCTAACAGCTTCTTGTTGCCCCTTGAGAGCAAGATAGACAGCCAGTGGTATGTACACCATTATTATTTCTAAGGCAAATAAAAGTACGGGAAAGTGACTCTTGGCCACATTACATTTTAATTAAGACTTCAGAGTGATATAGAGGCAGTTTGGCACACATTTGACTATTTTAATTTTAAAAAAAATGTAGAGAAAGAGGAATGAGGTATTTTGGATGCTGACAAATCAGACTGTCAAGCAAGGGCAGTTACCATGGTCCATCCCCAGTAGCATCAGGATCATGCTCCCCTGAAGCACTCCCAGCAGGCTCCCTTTTGCCTGCCTGGGAAGTAAGGTTGGCAGCCTTTGCCCTGATTGTATTCCTTAGCCTCATGCATCTCTCTTAATCGCAGAAATGCAGAAACCAAAAACTGTAGTGACAGCCTTGCTGCAAAACTAACTATGTATTTGGAAACCTAGGTGGCTTCAGTCAGCTGATTTTGTAAGAGAGGTAGATTGTATCTGCTAATTTCATAGGCCTTAGTGCATTTACTAGGATTCAAAATGCACTTTAGCAAAAAGGAATGTCTTTTCACAGGTCAAACAACTAAGTTTCCTGGGTGCTTTCAATGTGTGTTACACAGCTGGAAACATTCTGTGCATGTTCGATGTTACTGTTTCATTGGTTTTTATATTATAAAGGGCATTTCTGAACACCTAGCTAGGCTCTTTGCTAATGTTCATCCCTAATCAGAGAAGGATTTGCATCACTGAGATTACAGGATGTCACTAGCTGGACATTTTCAGAAAAAGAGAAATGTACTGTAATGCTGCAGCCACTTGACTCATGCTCTTCTCGTTCCTTTTTCCTATGAAAACAACAACAGCTAAACTTTTGCAACTCATGTGGCAAGTTTAGGGTTAGTTATAGGGCTTATATTACAAACCCCTGCTATTGCAGCTTGTCTGCTGTGGACGTTGGCAGCTAATCCACCCGCTCTGAAGTGCAGGCAAGGGCTAGAGCCAGCCAAGTTCTGCTAGTCCCTTAATGACTTATTTCTGCCTCTGACATACGTTGGGAAAGGACAGATAAATTTTTCCCACAAGTCACTGTGAAAGAATGGGAAATAGAACTGTACTGCAATTCACTGCAACATTAAAATAAATAAATAAACAAATAATCATCAAAGCAAAGGAGAATGTGCAAAGCCCGCGGGGATCTGCTCAAGCCAGGCAGAGCCCTGGCTGCAATGGTGCTTCTGTGGGGTGCTGAGCTAAGTAAGATTTGCAGAATTGAGGCTAAAATCCACAGCATTCTTGTGTAGAAACCTCATGTGGATTTGGAACCTCATCCATGGCTGTACTTGTTTCAGAGCAAGCATTGCCTGCATGAGTTGCAGAAGATAAAGCTCTCTTTCCAGCAAACTCTCTCAATTCTAGATTATTTGAAAAGACAAGTTACATTGTATTTCAGCCACAGAAGTGCTTAAGAAAAAGGTTTATATCTCTCTGAAACCAATGCCACCAATATAAATTAGACCAATGCTTAGAACAATGAGATATAGTCCCTAACTGGGTATCATAAAAATATCTAAAATGAGAGTGACAATAAAAGCATAAAAACAAGTACCTTCCAGCTTTAAGAACCTCTTTGCTTAACTGGACTTGTAATTATCTTCTTTTGCCTTTTTTTTTATTTTCCTCCTTCCACACAATACAGGCTGTTAAATCACGGCTGTAATATTTTGGATACTTCAGTAGGAACAGAAATAAAATACAAAACTATACTTGAAAATATCCAGATGTTTGTATCTAAGTTTCCTTTAACAAAATGAAAAATGGATTCCTAAGAGAGACTTCTAACATTGAAAATCTCATCTGAAATTAAAAAGAATGCAGAGAGGGTGCTGGCAGACTTACATTGAAGTGCAGTTGGACACTTCATTTCTACTCGTTTCTTGGAAAGTGGTATATGGATTATAAATTTTGCACATTGCAGAAGCTTCCTAAGTTATTTGTGACTTGTGTATAATCCTAAAATAGGTGATGCCTCCATTCTACTGCAGTACTGGCAATGTTTTGAAATATGCCTCCTCCTTGGAGCTTAGCTTTCCTTCAGGCAAAATCCACAGCTGAAACGGCATTTCTGAAAGGACAATGTCTGGTCAGCAAAATCATCATTTGACCACTGGAGAAACACAGCATTACTGGCTGATGTAGGTAGTCCCCTGCAGTGCCTCCCTCTAGCCTAGTGTGGGCTTTGCCCATAAAATCCTTCACCACAATCTTTCAAGACTCCTACCTTTGAAATTTAGGTGGGACTCCATGAGGTCTTTGTCTCAGTGCAGGCTTGCAATGTATCCCAAACTTGTATTAAGTGTACATTTGATAAAAACAGTCCAAGATAAACTAATTAAAGGAACAAGTGGGTCATCGGGGCACTTCAACGCTGTTGACAGGAGAGGGTCCCCTTCCACTCCCCGTTGGGGAAGACATCTGACCAGAACTGGACTCCAAAAGTAGAGCTGTGTATTAATCTAGGAGGAATGAGATGCCTCCCAGTGGGACACGAGTGGGTTCAAATGCCTGTTCAGAACAGAAACAGACGGCAGTCTCCAGTATCAGGAATAAAGGTGTTTTGTAC